AAAGACTAATTCCAGAGAGGCCTGGGATGGCCCTTGGGTGAAGACCCTAAGGACCACATCCTTTCTGCATCATGTAAACCTCTTAGAGTTTGTCTTAAAAACCTCTGCCTTTCTACCCTGTGACCGCAGCTCCTCTGGATTTTCTTTTCATAGGGATGAACCCCTGGACTTGCGCCTCAGCCCTGGATCTCCTCCAGTCAGTGGAGTTATTTCCATTACTATGTCACTTTGGGGCCCAATTAACATCTGCTCTGGAGTGGCTTTCTGACTGGTCTCCTATGCTCTTGGATATTGTTTTCTTTTTTCAATGTGGCTGTGTCTTTCCCAGTTTGCCTCCCCAAACAGAATGGCCCAGGATACTCTGTCCCCCAATTCCTCCTTATTGTCTTTAAACCCGAGTCCTCTGTGCTGTGTTGAAGAATCCAATCAACCCGCCTGTCCATCCCCACCAAGCAACTCAAGCACTCCTTAGTCACACACCCCTGAGACTCCATGCGTTCACTAGTTCCCGGGTGTACCTTCCTTTTGTTTATCCACCAACTAGTGGTAACCTCCTACCAACTAGTGGGCACCAGATTGAGCACTGGGTACAGAATGGATCAGATACCAATTATGCCCTCAAGAAGTTGGGCAGGATCTGGAGATGATTCTATGAACAAATCAAGATAATACAATGAGACAGGTGCAATGACAGTGATACCATCAAGATATACTGGGAGCAGAGGGAGTGATTACAGGTTTGGGGGAAAGGGTGGCAGAGTGGAGGTGCATTAAAAAGGCCTTTACCCAGGTGCTGCTAGTGTAATTTGTGGGGGGAAAAGGATAATGTCTGCAGAGGAGAAAGAGCAGTTCAAGGTGGTTAAGTGGCTGGTGGCATGGAGAAGTGGTGGACAGTGAGACCCATAGGTGAGAAGAGGCTGCTTTGAGGAAATATTTCGAGGAGGTGTGAATAGATGAGGACAAAGTGGAGGACAGGTTTGAGGGCAAGGAGGAAGAGTTGGCAATTGTCCAGGCAAGGAGGGGGACCATCTGGACAAGGGTAAGAGAATGTAGAAGAAACTGATATGAAAAGACAAAGGCAGAAGAAGGACCACTATGTCTGGGGAGTTTGGGGATGATCATTTCAGTAGCAGTGGGAAAATGGAAAACAGGGCAGGCTGCTTGGGAGATTACCTCAGTGTTAGACTAATGGAATCCAGGGTGTGGGTGTGTTCCAAGGAGCATCCATGGGCTGGGGGAAGCTTGGAACTGGGAAAAGAGGTAAGGATGTAGGTCTAAATTTTATAAATATCTTAGGGGGAAAAATGTGCTTATCCTGTGACCTAGCAATTCTACTTGTAGGAATCTCTCCTAATGACATAATTTAAGGGTGCATGTGAAGATTTATCTACAAAAATGCTTATTGTTTGTGACAATAAAAGGATGGAAACATTCTATAAACTATTCTGACAGTGAAAAATGTCTAACAGTAGGAACTGGTTAAATAAATTGTGATATATCCATGCAATAGAATTATACTCTAACAATAAAATGGATATTGTAAGTGAACACTTACTGACATGAAAAAAACTAAAATATTTTGCTAAGTAGATAAAGGCAGACTAAAACTGTAGAATAAAAGTCCCAGTTATTTTTTAAGAAAAAAAAATCAGGACTTTAATGTTGGTTCTTCCTAGGTGGTAGGATTATGAATATGATTTTTTCTTTGTTTTTAGTTTTTCTACATCAATTATAAAATGATTTTTTTAATTGAAAAAAAATAATAAAAGGAATAACCAGCTAAGGAGCACTCAGGTGCAGAGAAGCTGATCAATGACAGACCTCTGATAAGTAATCCTGACTTCTCTGGCCACCTAGCCTCTGTGCATGTAATAGCCTATGACCTGAGTATCTCTCCTGCATGGTATTTGCTACATGGCTGTATGGTAGAGAACAAGGAGCCGAGTGCTGCAAACAGTGGGCCTTCTACAAACTTATCCATTTTCTAAGTCTCAATTTTCTCATCTTTATGCTGGAGAGAATAATACTTTTCTCAAAATGGTTATTTGATGATAAATAAAATTTATAGAGACCATTGGTTTAGATTGAGCTCCTGCATTAGGCCCAACAGACTTAACCCAAATGGAGTTACTTATGCTGAAGTTCCAAGCCACCAAGTCAAAACTAAGTTGTTAATCTGACCTTTCAAGAAATCATTTGGAGGGAGGGAGGAAGACACACACACACACACACACACACACACACACACACACACACACACACCAAACAGGTCAGTTTTAGTAGGCATAACAAGTCCCCTTCCATTTAACTTTTACAAGGAAAGTAACTTGAAATGATCTATATGATTTTTTGTTCTCTATTTCTGCTTCTTCAGCCCTTCTCTGTCCATAAAACCAATCTTCTCTGCTCATCTCATTGAAATACTCAAATCCATTTTGTAGAATAGGTGTTGTCTGATTCTTGAATTGCAAATAAAAGCTAATTAAGATCTCTAAATTTGTTGTAATGCTGTCTTTTGATACTGATAATAAAATATTTACAYACATACATAGTAGCTTAATAAATATTAGTTCATCTTTCCTTTCCTCTTCCTCATTCTTCCCTGCTAGACTCAGATTTGATTTCCAGATTTGATCTCCCAGGGTAGGAAATGAGACGGCCTCTCTCTGAACACAGGTGAGCTCTGTTGGAATTCTGTTCCACACTGAACTTGGCTGGACCTGTAGGTAACAGCCAGCTCTGCTCCCTTCCTGAGTTTGGTCAACTCTCTTCTGGTAGCACCTAGCATACCGCTCTGCACACTGGGGGCGCTGGAATTTTTCTTGACTAAATTTGTGTTGCTTTATATGACTTAGCTAATCATGGATTACTCAAAGGCTGGATGATTACTCAAGGGTTAGTTTACTCAGACCTCTCGGAATTTTTCTCCTCCCATTCTGTAGCTCTGGCAAGGTTTATGTTCCACTCTGCAAATAGATGACCAGCAGAAAGAAAGAAAGCAGTTCTTCAGAGCCATAGATTCCTTGTCATAACCTCTGAGGAGAGTCTGGAGGATCAAGAGGGTAAAGGAAGGCTGTTTCTCTCTCCCCTGGTCCCCCCACCATACCTCACCAAGAGGAGACAGCCTGCAGGACATCTTTACTCTAGGGGAAAATGAAGTTGGGCAGACACATCATTTCACAGGCCCAGGTCCCCTCTACAGGCAGTAAAGTCCTCCTCACCCTTGCCTTTGCTGGCTAGCTGAGCAGGAGCATCTGACCATTATTCCCTTTTCCCAGGTCCTGCCTCGCAGCTTGCTCTGGTGCACATCCTTCCTGAAAACAGCTTATTGAGTCTGGGAGGCAGCCTGGTGCTAAGAAAAGATCTTTGGGTTGAAAGTTAGGAGACCTGTGTGACCCATGGCAAGTTGGTTAAGCTCTTGAAGCCTCAGTTTCTGGGAATAACCAGAGGCCCTGTCCCCTATCACAGCCTAGAGTTACTGGGAGGGAATCAAATAAGATTTATAAAAGTATTAACAGGTAAACAGCTCTTTATAAACGCCAGGTGTTCCCAGTTCTGTTTGTGGGGTTTCCTCTCTGTAACTATCCACCAAAGCGTTCCTGTCCGCCCCGCCCTGGTTGCACGGGCCTCACCCACTGCATCTTCATCTTTTCCGTCGTTGTGTTTCTGAGCCTCCGAGATCTTCAGTCTCAGCATCTCCCCTGCCCATTTCCGGGTCTGGCTCTGGGGCCCCTCGGGTCTCTCCAGGGACTCAGTCTCTGGCTCCCTGCGGCAGTCGCTACCCGGGTGCCCCCCGCCCGGCGCGCCCTTCTTTGGCACGGTCGCCGGGCCGGAGAATCGCCCAATAAGCGCGCTGGACTCGAGTCTGACAGCTCAGGAAGCGGCCAATCGAGCCCGGCCAGAGAAGGGGGGCGCAGCGCCGGGGCTGAAGTTGGGTTGAATGGGGGGAGGGGGAATAAAGGGGGATACAAAAGAGGGGAGCTAGGACTGGGGGCGCAGGAACCCAAGCTGGGGGCGGGGGACGACCGAAGTCACCCAGGTCCGGCGAAAGGATCGCGGGCTGGACCCGGCTCCAGGAGCCAGGGAGGGAGGGGCACAGCGAGAATTTTAGGTGAGGAAGGGGAGCTGGGGTCCCCCGCGGCCCCGAGCCCGACCTGAGGATGCCCACGGGCCACCAAGGCTGGGGCCGTGGCCCGGCCGAGGGCGGAGGCGGCCGCGCGCCGTTGTGAGCCGAGGCCCGAGCGGCGCGGGGGGCGGGGAAGCGGCGGGAGGAGGGGATGCGGAGGGCGCTCCGGCGGCGGCGGCGAGCGGGCAAGAAGGGAGGAGCGGCGCGAGCGGCCGGAGCGGCGCAGGGCCCGAGGCGTGCATGGCGCGCCCGGAGCCGAGATCCCGCGGGTCCCCCCGGAGAGCCCCCGGGGAGCCGCGGCTCTTCGGCGGGTCCCCCTCGGCCGGCTGCTTCTGAGCCCCGGCCCTCCATCTCTGGATGCTGTGCTCCGGGAGAGAAGCCCGCCTGCGTTGGGGCAGAACGGCGGTGGCGAGGCGCCGGATTCCGCCCTCCGCTTAGCTGTTCTGCGCCCGGCCGCGGTGGGCCGGCAGCCGGCGGCAAGAAGCTTGAGGCTAGCGGAGCCAGCGCGACAGCTCTCGGGACCGGCGGGTGCGGGCCAGCCACGCTTGGTTTGGGGGAAAGGGAGAGGCGAGAGGGGAAGGGCCGCACCTCAGGAGCCGGTCCTCGCCCCCGCCCCCTGCGCGGACGCGCGGAAGGCTCGACTCGTCTTTCGCGGGGGCCACGCTCCCACTCTCGCCACGGGAGGTGGGGGATGCGGGCGACAGCTCCCCCGGGATCCAGGACCCTCCCCCCCAGGGCTCCGGAGCTGTCGCTCCGCCCGCCGCCCCCTCCCCCGTGCTCTCCACCCCCCATCCCACCTCCCCACCCCTCGTAAGAAAATAATGCTGGCTGGCGCCCGCACCTCCCAGTCGCTCCCAGTCCGCTGTGAGGAAAGGGCACCCGCTGCGTCTCCGTGCCGGGACCCCCGCAGAGCCGCCCTCGCCGCCACCTAGCTCCGAAAGCCTCTGGGCTTTGCTTAGGCATTATCTGCGAGCGCCGCGCCCGGGCATTGCCAGCTCCAGGGAGGCGCCGCCCGCAAGGAMACCTCTCCGTCCCGCCTCGTCCGCAACTCCGGCCCTCGTCGACTCGACGCGAGCCAGGGGTCTGGACGTCCCTCTGCGCGCGGCGCAGTAGCTGGAACAGTCCCCACTGCCCCAGCTCAGAGCCAACTCCATCTCGGACCTGGGACTCTTGACGCGGATTCTCAGCTACTTCTCACCTCGGGGCTACGCCTGTCTCTCCGCTCACCCTCCGTTGCCCTCCTCCACCGCTCAGGACGGGGGTGCCAAGATGCCCCGCTTCTGCGCAGGGCCCCGGGCCGCCCCCGACGTGTGACCCCAGCCTGGTCCCCCTGCTCGGCCGTCCGCCCTCCCCTTGGAGACCCCCGGCCCGGTCCCCGGGGGAGGAGGAAGACGACGAGGCCGAGGGGGGGATGTCCGGCTCCAAAAGCGTGAGCCCTCCGGGCTACGCGGCGCAGACAGCTGCGGCGCCGGCACCCCGGGGAGGCCCAGAGCACCGCTCGGCATGGGGGGAGGCCGATTCCCGCGCCAATGGTTACCCCCATGCCCCTGGGGGATCCACCCGCAGCTCCACCAAGAAACCCGGTGGGTCGGTGACCCCGCAGCAGCAGCGCCTGGCCGGCCGCTGGCGCAGCGACGACGACGATGATCCTCCGCTGAGTGGTGACGACCCCCTGGCCGGGGGCTTCGGCTTCAGCTTCCGTTCCAAGTCCGCCTGGCAGGAGCGCGGCGGCGACGACTGCGGTCGCGGCAGCCGGCGGCAGCGGCGGGGCGCGGCCGGCGGGGGCAGCACCCGGGCGCCCCCTGCGGGCGGCGGCGGCGGTTCGGCGGCAGCGGCAGCTGCGGCAGGCGGGACGGAGGTGCGCCCCCGTTCGGTGGAGCTGGGCCTGGAGGAGCGACGGGGCAAGGGTCGCGCGGCCGACGAAGTAGAGGCCGGCGCCGTCGAGGGCGGCGAAGGGTCTGGGGATGGCTGCAGCTCAGAGGACTCAGGCTCAGGGCCCGGCGCGGTGCTGTCGCTGGGCGCCTGCTGCCTGGCATTGCTGCAGATATTCCGCTCTAAGAAGTTCCCGTCGGACAAGCTGGAGCGGCTGTACCAGCGCTACTTCTTCCGCCTGAACCAGAGCAGTCTCACCATGCTCATGGCCGTGCTGGTGCTCGTGTGTCTTGTCATGCTGGCCTTCCACGCGGCGCGGCCCCCGCTCCAGCTTCCCTACCTGACCGTGCTGGCGGCCGCCGTGGGAGTGATCCTCATTATGGCTGTGCTCTGCAACCGCGCAGCCTTCCACCAGGACCACATGGGCCTGGCCTGCTACGCGCTCATCGCGGTGGTGCTGGCCGTCCAGGTGGTGGGCCTTCTGCTGCCGCAGCCGCGCAGCGCCTCCGAGGGCATCTGGTGGACGGTGTTCTTCATCTACACCATCTACACCCTGCTGCCCGTGCGCATGAGGGCTGCGGTACTCAGCGGGGTGCTCCTGTCTGCTCTCCACCTGGCCATCGCCCTGCGAACCAACGCCCAGGACCAGTTCCTGCTGAAACAGGTAGGAGCCCACCCCGCCAAAGGGACCGGACTGTGGGGCTTGGCAGGCCTGGGCTTGATTCCAGAGAAAGTGATCCCACCCTCACCCTTGAAAGTGGTGAAAAGGAGCCAGAGATGTGGCTTCTTGGTCCCCCTTGCACCCCAGTGTCTTCGTTTACAAAAGAGTGCTCTTGTGTTACTTATAACGTTCCTGGCCTGGTAGATGACGCTCCAAACTGTATCCATCAGTGCTGGGATTTGAGTAAGGTAGAAGACTTGGAGAAGATGGAGAAGTTCCCATCTCTCCCTGAGCTTCAGTCCCTGTATATACAAGAGACACTACCTAAAGTGGCGGGACCCTCTAGCAGCCACCCATCCAGAGCACCACTGCTGACTTGTTAACCCAGACCTAGATAGAACATTGGGGAGGAGGGATCTGGCCACCCCTTGTCCTGTCCTAGGAAGGAGATAGGATAGCCCTCCCAGTGTCTGAGGCTGGAGGTTTAGGAGCTAGAGATATCACTGAACTTGAAGGAGGACCGACAAGTTTGTTTCCTTTACCAAAGTGCAAGGCAAGAAGGCGAAAACTTGCAGTTGGCACAAGTGGGAGGGAGCATCTGAGATGTGTGTGGCCACAGTCCCCCTTCTGGCCTGAGCAGAAAGCTGGTGTTGAATACCATGACCCTTCCAAAGGGTGCTCCTGGTCATTGCTTTTTTTTTTTTTTTTTTAAGCCCTACTGACACTTATTGGGCAAATCTAGAACTGTGGGCTAAGGAGTAAATAAAACTTCTGTGGCTTCAGACTTCTTGAAGAGGGACATGCTTGCCACCCAGGCCTTAGGGTAAGGCGGCCTCTAAGACATCTGTGCTTTCTCCTTTTAGCATCCTAATATCTATCCCAATTCATGGCCTCTACTGAACCTGCCCGATTGTATGCTGTTCCATTGGACAGAATTAAGGGGGGCTTGCTGTAGGTCAGTGTTTTGGACCCTGACCCCACTGTACACTCCTTCTATCTCTTGATATCTGTCTCCTCTCACAGAGTCTCCCCGCCCCCCACTGGGGATTGAACTCAGGGCCTTCTATATGCTAGGCAAGTGCTCTACCACTGAGCTACATTCCCAGCCCTCATTGAGCCTCTCCTTCTCCCTACTTTTACTACCTTCCCCAGACTTTGATCCTGTTGCGTGTTGCAACTTTCTTGGGATGCTCCCTTGTATCCCAACTTCCTGGACATGCTGAACCTGCAAGATGCTCTGCTATAGGGAGGGAGGGAACATGTGATCTCTCTGGTCCTAGGTTCCCTTTCTAGAGAATGAGAGGGTTGACTATGTCCTTTTGACTCCCAACAGCCTCTTCACCAACTGTGGGCTAAGGAGTAAATAAAACTCCTGTAAGGAGTCTTCTCTTTCAGCCACATGGTGCTCTCCCTGTTCTGCATGATTAATAGGAGAGTCAGCCATAGACAGGAGCCCTCTCCAGTGTCCATTGGTTTGCTGTCCATCCAATGTAACCTCCTTGGATGCAAGGATCCTGAAGTATATAATTTTCCTTCCTCCACTTTCTCCCTTGCCTAGGTCAATGCAGAATATTTAGTAACAATTTAATAGCCACTGGCCAATTTGGTTGGGGTCCAGTGAGTGGAGTAGGTGGAGTTGTTGATGTTAAGTTAAAGTTTTTCTGATCTAGGATCAGAAGGGAAAAAACCCTTTAGAGATTGGCTTTGAACTTGAGAGGGAAATCTTTTGAGAGACGGTGGTTTGAAAATATTTTCTACTATTGTTAGTGCTTATAAAGGCTCCAACTCTTTTGGCCCGAGGACCCATGCTCTCAGATAAGTGTTGTATCTCTGTTCTTGCCTTTGGTAGGTGTAGTTTTTTTGAAGAGGGAAGGGTATGTCATCTATATGGCACAGTGGCGATTTCCAGGAAAGCTATGGGTATTTCTGAACCTGTCTTGGGATACAGGGCCTGATTACAGCAATAGGCAGTCCTGGACATAGGATTTCAGGAGACTGGAGTCAGATCCCAAATGACGGAGCTGAACCTAGGCACTGCAACTCCATCTTGGCATGAAATGCCATTGCCACAGGGTCTGACTTGCCTTCTGGTTCCTCAGGCAATATTCTCCTTTCTATTCCCGCCCCCACCAGTTCCTACTCCATGCTTCTCTACCCATTTCTTTTCGACCCAAGACTTTTCCTTGGCTGAAGGATTTTGGATGGATTTACACTTAACTTTTGATGATCTGCTCTGAGTACAGCAGAGTTTGTTTGAAATGGTCCAAGGCAAGGGAATGTAAACATTGTTTCTATTTGGCTTCAGAGAAAACTATCTTTTTTTTTGTTTGTACTTGATCTACCTTTCTGATTATGCCTGTTATAAAATTGGTCTTTCTTCAGCAAAGTGGGCTGGGTGGTGGGGAACTATTAGTGGGAGTATTAGTATTCCAGAGTGTATTTTTGAGGTGGCTTGGTTAGATACCTTTTTTTTTTAAATGAAGACACGTGTCCAGGGAGAAGGGTAACAATGAATGGGTTCTAGGTTTGGGGCTTTACGTCTTGGCTCCAATTAGGAGAAGACGCATTTGTTTTCTTAACCAGTCGGTTTTTATTCAAGAGACAAACAAGAGGCAAGGTGGGGCAGCCCCTGTGTGGGACCGTGTTCCTTCCTTCCCCTTCCCTGTGTCTCTGGCTCTTGCCTTCCCCTGGGATCTGCCACCCTCCTCCTCTGCCCTTTCCCTCTTCCTGCCTATGCCTTGCCTCCTTCCTTTCTCTGCTCTCCCCGTGCGGCCCCCTGTTGCTCTCAGCCCACTTCTTCTTTCCTCACCCTTCCTGCTTGCTCTGCTGCCCTCTTTCTTAGTCCCGTTGGTTCTGGTTCGTTTGTGGCCTTGGCCTCTCCCGTGCTCTTGTCTTGCTGTCGTCTTCTCATCGCCTCACAGGGGTACAGTAGGAGCGTCATGGGGTTGTTTTTCCTCCTCTTTTGCCTGTTAGAAGTCCCTCTGCTACACCCATACCATAAATAACACTCAAGCATCTGCCAAACACATTCCTCACTTGTGTTAATAGGCTGCAATGATGCTGGAGCCTGTTGCCATGGCAACCTCATTTTTGTTTGACTGTATCCCACTCTGCTACATAAAGCCTCTGTGCTCACTCACACACAAACAAGCACAATCCACAACTATGATCCATGCTTGGATGTCAAAGATTATTTTGGAGATAGCCTCTTTGGGCCCTGTGGAGGCAGGGTGGTGGTCATTTGAACCCAAGGAGATGGTCACCTCCTCCAAGTATTACCCTAGTAGGTCATAATGAATGGAGAGACCTGCTCAAATGTTTAGTATTATTATTTCACAGCCACCTTGAACCTGTTTGATGTGATTTCTGAGAAGATTCTGACCCYGTATGGGTAGGCAGGAGAGTAGAGTGCAGGGTACCATCCCCTCCCAACCCTGAATTACTTTTGCTCCTTACTCCCTGCCTCCTGCCCTTTAGGAGAAACAGTGATTTCCTGCATTTCTTCCTTTGTGCCTGTTTGAACTCACAACTGTCACCAGTTGTTCCAGCGACCAGAATGGCACAGGCACTGTGTGGGTGATGTTCTGTGACTGAGCACGTGTGAGTGTCTGTTGTGCGGAGGCAAGGGATGGGTGGGGGTAGGGACATGGGCCAGGAATCCACCACGGTGGCTGCCCCAGGGCATGTGCACGTGTGAGCCAGCGCATGTGCCTGCCCGTGTCTGTCTGTCTGGCAGGCGTGCTGGCCCGGGTGATGGGGGTGGCCTGAGAAGCTTTTGTGTTCACTTTGAGAGGAGATCCTCCCAGCTCTGTCCTGTTTGTTTTTGGCTGGTAGCTGGCTTCCTATGGCCATTAGCCTTTCTCATTCTTCTGACCTTGACCTATGACTCCTCAGGGACTGTATACACTCCCTCACATTTCCATAGTGAGTTTGGGGGCTGGACTTGAGTGGGCAAACTCCTTCACCCCAAGGAGCCCATCCTTCCCTTTTTCCTGCTGTGCAGTGGCTCAGCAGCAGGATAAACGCTATTGGAGTGCCACCTCCTTGATCTGGAACTTGGCCCAGTGGCCAGTCTGGAGGATCACTGTGGCTGCCCTATTTGCGCTGCTGGGTGGTATGGAGGACACTTCTACCACAAAGACCAGGTCATTGTCTGCCACCAATAACTTCCCCGTCACCTGTGTTTCTGTGCAGGAGAAATCTGGCCACAAGTGAATTCCAAATAGCACCAGCAGGCTGGGGGTGGGGTTGACTTTGAATTTGGAGTGGAGAAGGGTCTGCTTGTCTTGATAATTGCATTTAGCAGTTACATTTGCTAATTGTCTTTGATTGTGTTGCCTACTTCTCCAGGCAGCTAGGAGGGAATGTGTGAAGAGGAACAGAAGCAGCTCCTGGTAAGAGCTGGAGCAGGTTTCTGGGTAGGGGATGTTCTGCTAGACCTCTAGGGTACCTTGATCACTGTGGGGAGGACTTCAGGAACGGTGGAGACTCAGCCAAGGAGCAGAATGCCTGGCTGCTATATCTGCAGGAAAGTTCGCTGTTAATAATTCAATTTAAGTTGTGATTTGCAAGCAAGAGCATGAAGTCTCTGTGCTGTGGGACACAGAACAGAATGCTCCCATTTATGTGAAGAGGGCACAGGCAGTTGTTAAGCACTATCATGGAAACCTGTTTGACCTTGCAGGAGAGTTTAAAAATCAGTGTAAAAGCCTTGGACAAAAGCTCTCTTCTAGAGACAGACAGGCCCTGGACATAAGTCCCTGTGTCAGAGAGTGTAGCTGGCAGCAGAACAGGGCTGTGGCATCTCCTCACCTGGGAGGTATGAATGGAACTACCACTTTGGTCCCAGGCATGGGTGTAGTGGGGAAAGGGCAGGGTGACCAGAGGGGGGGACCTCCTGGGTTGTGCCAGTCTCTAGCTGGGTGACATCTGGTCCATGATTGCCTGCTCTTTATTTCAACTAACTTTATTCATCTGTGGCAGGTCCAGCTTGTGGTCATTTC